GGCTGCGTTCGGAGCTTGGCCAGCACCGGCATTTTGCTCCCCCGCGCAGCCCTGCCGGTTCCTCCCATCTAAACGGGAGTCCCTATTTATCTACTCGCAGATGGAATAGCTTTCGAACTGCTGGGTGGGCAGGAGCTAGGACAAGGGACAGGAGCTCACCCCGTCCCGCGGAGCCGGGCCCGAACCGCTGGAGTCCCAACCATTTCTGACCGGCAAACTCCACCGTCATTAAGCCCTTGTGCCACCACGTCCATTTACCTTTACCTGCTCTTTTACTGTTGCTCTGTTTATTTTTCCTTAAGCCAGCTACTTATTTTTACTTAAGCCAACATCTCAAGGAGATATTGAACTGGTTTTCTGATACCTGCCTCTCATCTTGGTAATCACTTATTTTCAGATAATTGCTTTTGCAGGTAGACAAATAGCATTGTTGGGCTTCATTTCTCACTGTTTTCTTATTTTGTGTGAAGTAGTTTTTGTTATGTTTATAACATGTTACAAACAAAAAATGTTCATAACAAAAATGTTACAAAGTTTATTTAATAAATTGCATATATTTGGTGACCTTTTCCATTTATGCCAGCATAATTTTGGGAAAAATTTAGTTACATCAGCATTCTTAAATCTTATTTCTCTCTCCAGTACTATATTAAGAAATTTCACACAATTAAATTAAAGAAGGGCAATATGGGACAGGCCTAAAATGTGTTTTAGTATCTACTACTATTTTACATTTCCAACATATTGCAGTTCACATCCGACCTTTATTAAACATCCTTGAAAGAGAATCTTTTGGGAATTAAGGGTATTTTAAGATTAAAAACTTACATATTTAACATTCTGTAAGAATTTAACCCATTATTATTAAAACAGGTTATTGTAACTCCTCACTCCACAGTTTTGACAAATTACCTGTATCAGTCCTTAGGGTATGTATAGGAACTTGAGCTCCTGAAGAAAAGACAGGATATAAATCAAATAAATATATAAGTACATATGCACTGAGGGAAACGTCTGCTGAACTAAACCTCTTCTTATATTCTTCACTGTATCAATATCCTATTTCCATTATCAGTGCTTGAATCCACATATCAAGGACACTAGATGACATGACTCAGGAAGACCCCCTCAGTGGACCACGGTTCTGAAGACATAGCTGATAAAGCAGAGGGAAGAAAGGTAGCACCCATTTATTTAAATTATGTGGAAGTTAAATAGTAGCAGGTGTGTGAGTAGAACCAAATTAAGATCTCCTGTTTAATTGTATGTTAAATATTTGTAACGTT